TATATATATATATATATATATATATATATATATATATATATGACTCCTAAGTGTGGGTGATGCTGTCTTAGGGGCTGGTCGTGTGGATGGAATGAAGTTGAGAAAAGGAGAAAGCCATCCCAGTGTTAGCATCCTTCTCTCTGCTTCCTGGCTTGCCATAACATGAACAGCTCTCCTGGACCATGTGATCTCACTGCTATGGTGCTTTGCCTAATTTCACAGGGCCAAGCAAACTCCCTGAACCTGTAAGCTAAAATAAATCTTCCCTCTTTTTAAGTTGTATAGAATTTGACCACACCTAATTTACGCCTATGAAGAATTTGTTGGAAAGAAATTGATAGAACTCCCAAAACGAAGGCTGAAGAACACCCCTGAAATGGATAGAAATGATAATACCTGGGGGACTTGGACAGTGGTGTTTAGGCTGTCTTTGCAGAGAGAATGGACAGAATGGTTTGTCTGAGGTTACTGTATCTCACTGTTGAGGACACTAGGAGGTAGGGTGAGTCTGACTGGCCATTTGAGGGGAATGGGTGTCCACCTTCTGACCTCAGGTAGAAGGCAATACAGTTCATCCAGACAGAGGCAACAGATTCTTACCCATCATTGAGAATTGACACGTGTGGCTGTGACATGGCAGAGTCAGGACTTGAAGCCAGAGCTTTTGTTTCTGCTTACCTTTCCATTCAATAGTCCTTGGCTGTGCTTGACCTCTGATTCAAGATGGATGGGACCTAGCTGTTCTGTATGGTTATGTAGGTTCAGGGATGGAATACTAGTTTCTGCATTGCTTTACCTTGAGTGTACATAGCCATCCACTAGAGGTGCTTTAGAGTTTCCCTGTGCTGACCTATGGATTCTGGGTAACTGCCGAGGCCAATACTTAAAATTGATCCTCCACAGCAAAGGCTGGCAGCTCATCTTGGCTTGCAATGCACAGTGGATGTGATTAGGGTTAGATAAAGCCATTAGCATACAGACCCCACGGTTGAATACTGTTTGTCTATAAAAGGGAGAGAGATCAGAGGTGACACATATGTGTTTCCTCTCTTGTTACACAATGTCCTTCCCTGCTTTTGAACTCTGCCAACAGGAAAGTCATTTCCTCTTGACTTTGGACTAGAACTGAGAGAAAATAAATTTCATTTTTTTTTAAACTCAGTGTTTCATGTTGTGTTAAAGCAACAGAAAACAGATCAATACAAAATTGTATCCCAAGAAGGCCAAGACTGGAAGTAATCCAAGAGTTAGTTCTCTTTGGAGTAGAATACATTGATGTCATGACCAAGGATGAGAGAGGGCCAGTGCCAGTGTCCAGTAGGTTGGGGTGAGGCAGAACTTTGTATTGGGACATATTCAGGGAGTTTCTCCCTGGGAGGAAGCAACTGATCAG